AGGCTGCAGACAAACAGCCTCATGACCCTTCTTTGCCTGGGTCAGATAACGTCTCACTAAGCATTCTTATTGCTCTTCTTTTCCTTTACCATCTTGCTTTGTTTCCTATTGATGTTCTCTTATCTGGGTCTCAAATGATACTTGCAACTTTAAAAAGTGCATTTTCTAGGACATCTCTTTTGAAGGACAGGGGTGAAAGTAAGCCCTTCTCTCCTCCCTCATTCATCCTTTGCAGCAGGGTTGACTTGGAAGCCTAGGACCCAATGCAGAGCAAACTCAGTCTCCTATGAGTGGGTAAAAACAGGGAGTCTGATTCCTGTCCCCGCCCACATCCCTGAAGATGAAGAGGACTGGCTATTTGTCCAACTGTGCTTCGTGCAGTCCTTCAAGAAGAACCACCCGTATTCCCATCACTGTGTTCCATATCTGTTTGTTTTGTTTTTATTGTCAATAAACTATATCTAGATGCTGGGTAAATTTCTACAAAAAAATTTGACTTAAAAGGCAAACCTCTGGGACCTGTAGAGAGAATAAAGACAAGTAGGTAGGTGATAATGCAAGCCAGTAAACAAACCAGCACGCAGACCATGGGCGAGGCTAGCTGGCTCTTTCAGCCTCCGAAGGGTTGGATATTGGAAGAATCTCTGTAAAGCCAGGAGTCCAGGTCTTAGCCTTGTGGTTTTGGTAACTCTATTTTACCAGTTTACTCAAGAGTTATCAGGATCTGATGTGCTGATCTATTTCTACCAAACCCCACACTAGCTTTATTATCCCCAAAGCAGAATATCAATATATTAATTTAGAATGAGAAGCATATCCTTTTAGGACAGGAATATTCAGGTCCAGGGCACTTATATGCATGGTATGATATGCACAAAACTGCTAAATTATCATTTTAATGTGGAGATAACTTGCTAAACATGGAATCAGTCTTGAGGTGTGCTTTCTCCAGGATGTAGCATAGCCTGGTGCATACAAGCTTCGCTCTGCTTCAAAAACTATCTTCCCACAGGAAAAAAATATTACAGCGTGGAGATGCACAGTCACATTCTTCTTTGCTTCTTTTTTTCTAAATTTTACAGAGACTACCACTCATACTTTAAACTTATACCTAAAAATTTAATTCCAAAGTAAGTATGTGATCACTGCAAGAAATGAAAACAAACACACAAAATAAAACAAAACACTCCAAAGATATGTAAAGTTAATAATCTTGTCTCTGCCACTGGCTCCATACCCAAATCCGTAGTAATAAATGTGGTGGGCCTGGGGTGTACAGCCCTCTGAAACTTTCACTGGGATTCTACAAAGATATGCAGGATAGTCCGGGATTTTCACGTTTCTTTTTATCAATATTACGTAATACACCATACACTGAAACTTACTCCTCTCACCAATGTATCATGGACACTTCCCTTTGCCCAATGGGAATAACTCAGACATTATTTTTAGTAACTGCAACATACGTGCTCATTTCCCAGCCTCCATGTGGTTAGATGTAGCCATGTGACTGTGTCACTGAGTTGTGTTCCATGGAGTACAGGGGGAACCAGCACTCCACGCCTTGGCCTGGCCCCTAAAAATCTCCCATGGGGATATCCTCCATTCTCTCCTTCTATCCACCATCTGCAAGTGAAGGCCTCCGAAGCTCCCACTCACAGGTGAGGGAGCCTGGGTCTCTGAATCACTATGTGGAAGGCCACTTGCTAAACCCCTACGCTGACTGTTGTAAGGATAGAAACAAATTTTCATTGTGTTAGGCTGTTAGCATTTATCTGTCACGGAAATCATAATAATGTATTTAGCATTAATAGTTGCTGTAGGAGGAGCAGCTTGAATGTTTCAACATGAAACCCAAAAAGATCCTCATGGTCCCTACTTGCATGTTAAACTAACGCTCCATCAGCTTTATGGCTAAGGCAAATATTTAGCAAGACTCAGATTGTGTAGCAGGAGTTTGGATTAGAATGATTGCCGCTTGGTCACAGGAATGTGTGATAAGAGAAAACTGTTGTATGTGTAATGTATGGACAGGAGGAAATAATGGAACACAGGAACAGATGACTTTGGTATTTTGTCCCTGGACCTAACTATGATGTTGCTCAGATTCCACAGTTAGGGCTCAGCATGAGTTGGTGAAGCCATTGACCTAGGACTCCATGTACAGACCTGAAAACACTCTAGAAGAAAACATGCTTATAGGCTGGGTGCAGTGACTCATGCCTGTAGTCCCAGCACTTTGGGAGGCCGAGCTGGGTAGATCACTCGAGGTCAGGAGTTCAAGACCAGCCTGGCCAACGTGGTGAAACCCCACCTCTAGTAAAAATACAAAAATTAGCCGGGTGTGGTGGCAGGCACCTGTGGTCCCAGCTATTCTGGAGGCTGAGGCAGGAGAATCCACTTGAACCCAGGAGGCAGAAGTTGCAGTGAGCTGAGATCATGACACTGCACTCCAGCCTGGGCAAGAGACTCCAATTCAAAGAAAAAAAAATGCTTACAGAATACAGTGATTTGAGGTCATACTAAAAAGACCATCAAATCCTAGCCGTTGGGTCAGATATTTCATTAATAAGGATATTAAAGGCCAGCGAGATAGTTCACACCTGTAATTCCAGCACTTTGGGAGGCCAAGGTGGGAGGATTGCTTGAGCCCAGGAGTCCAAGAGCAGCCTGGGCAACACAGTGAGACCATTCTTCTACAAACAAGTTTTAAAAATTAGTCAGCCATGGCCGGGCATGGTGGTTCATGCCTGTAATCCCAGCACTTTGGGAGGCTGAGATGGGTGGATCATAAGGTCAGGAGTTCAAGACCAGCCTGACCAACACAGTGAAACCCCATCTCTACTAAAAATATAAAAATTAGCTGGGCATAGTGGCAGGCACCTGTAATTCCAGCTACTAGGGAGGCTGAGGCAGGAGAATCGCTTGAACCTGGGAGGTGGAGGTTGCAGTGAGCTGAGATCATGCCATCGCACTCCAGTCTGGGTGACAGAGCTAGACTCTGTCTTAAAAAAAAAAAAAATTAGCCATGGTGGTGCATGCCTGTAGTCCCAGCTACTCAGGGGGCTGAGGCAGGAGGATTGCTTGAGCCCAGGAGGTTGAGGCTGCAGTGAATTGTGATTATGCCATTGCAACTACATTCCAGCCTGGGCAACAGATCATGATACCCGGTGTTGAGATAGAGAGAGAGAGAGAGAGGGAGAGGAAAAGGCGTTAAACATATTAAAAGTATAAGCATTTTCTACAACTTCTCAAATTATTATTAAAAAGGCCAAAAGGTGAACATGAATTTCTGATGGGGATGCTAAACAAGGTGAGGACGACACCCTGCCACACTAAGGACCTCCATTTACCAGATTGGTGGATGTCATCCGTACAGAATTGGAGAAGGCGTTATATCTCTCTTTGCTAATGATTTATAAGGTGGGCACTTACTCACACTCAAAATCTTGTAGCTCTTATTTCTAGCCCTTCTTTCATTCTACCAACTTGGACTCCTGCTCAAAAATATTCAGTGCCTCTCCATTGCTTGTGGAAACAGATTTAGACACTTCTGCTGGGCACTAAAGGCCCTTCTCAGTCCAGGACCGATCTATTTGTCCAAATATATTTTGTATTAACTGTTGGCTAAGACCTGGCCCCCGTCTGGGGCAGGGCCATCCCTAGGACATGGTCATTCCATGTGCCATGTCCATTTCTCATTCCCAGCCCTAAGCCTTTCCTCTTCTCCACACATCCAATCCCACTGGTGCCATGGGCAAAACTCAAGTTCTCTCAGTCCACCTCCGCAGAGCAGTCTGACTCCCTCCCTCCAAATTGCAAGAGAATTGGGTAGCAGGTGATTTGATGAGCGCAGTTGCACGGGACCTCACATTCAGAAAGACCATGGGCCTGGCTTCTCTGCCTAGACCCAGATGCTGGTACATTCTGGTCTCACTCATGCAACAAGTATTTATTGAGCCTCTAGGAAGTATCAGGCACTGTTCTAGACACTTGGAATATATCAGTGAACAAAACAAACCATGATTTTGTGAAACTTACGTTCTAATAGAAACAATCAGACCATTAAAGATAAACTTTATAAATAAGTAATAAACGATATTAGAAGAGAATAAATACTATGCAAATATAGCAGAATAAGATAAGGTCAGGGGTTCTTATCCTGGAGTTCCAGACTTACAAGGGGTTTGTGGATAGAATTCAGGGGATCTGTGAACTTGGATGGGGGGAAAATGACATCTTCATTTTCATTAGTCTAAAACCTTCAAATCTGACTGTAGACAACCAACCTCAGAAGCCATAGCAATACCTATACCTTTGTTACCAATTGAAATCACAGATATTTTGTATCAGATTGACAGTTGTTGCAGATTTCTGGAACTGTTATTTACATTCATCACTACTTTGTAGCTACTGAACCTGTGGTTAAATCTTGTTACTTAATGTGTCAATAAAGAAACATACATTTAGTAACTGTTTCTCAAAATTGTATCAATAAAGAAATACACATTTAGTAACTGTATCTCAATACAATCCACTTCTTTTGTAGTCTTATCTGTTTTTCCATGCATTTAAAAACCTTATTCTGAGAGGCACCCCCAGCCTTCACCAAACTGCAGAAGAATCCACAAGAGAAAGAAAAAAGGTTAAGAACACTAGGTAAGGGAAAATGGGGTACACTAGAGGACAGTGAGGGTGGAGGGGCAAGTTGCAATATTAAATAGGGTTGTCAGGGTAGGTTTCATGCCTAATGCCCTTTGGATCCAAGTTTCTACTGCTTGCTCTCCTTGGCCATCACAGTCATCGCCCTGGCTTTGCCCAAACCTTAGACTCAGGAACCCGGTGACACCATCTTGTTAGTCACCACTCTCCCAGCTGCCCATCACCTTCCCCTCTCTGGCTACTTAACACAGGGCTTTGCATTTGGAAGTGTGTCATCAACATAATAATGTCAATAGAACACAAAGAAATTCAAGGATATTTAAAAAATCTTACCTGTTGTTATTCTGCCTCCTATTTAAACATCCAACTCAAACTGGCTAGCAGACAAACTAGCTCAAATCAGCCAGGCAGTCCAGGCAGCAAATGTCTCCTAAAGAAAAGGTAAGCAAAGCAAATCCGCAGCTTCTGAAAGCCGATGAAGTGTATCACCTAGGGCAAGTGGAATGTGAGCTAAAGATATTGCCTTATGCCAAAAGAAATTCTTTAAAAATTCAAATTCATCTCCTCATATACATGCAAAAATCCTCGGAATTCTATGACAAAAAATTCTTTTTTTTTTTTAAACTTACACTTTGAAGCTGTTGAATTCTTTTTAAAAGATCTATACACGGACAGTGATAAAACACTATAAGAAAATCACAAAACTAAATTCTTCCTTAAAATGACCAAGATGCTGATGCTGTTAGCTGCAAGTCACGGGATGCTTTGCTAAAGTTGTCTTCATAAAAACAGCTCTCCTATCAATAAGGCTGGAGGTCAATGGTACCAAGGCCAGTTTACTTCCTTACCTGCAAGATGTCACTCTAATTGATCCCACCCAAAGCTTCCCATCAGACTATGATACAGCTGAAGAAGAGGGAAAGGAAATGAACCACCCCTTCCCATGGAACGCACTTTTATGGGAAAGGAGACACTTTCTCAGAAGCCTTCAAGTTTTACCTTTTGTCTCATTGGGTCACCTGACCACCACTGGAAACACGATTGATTTGCTGCAATGAACTTAGACCAATCATAATTTACCTTCTATTTATTTAGGCAGGTTTGTTACTCCCTAAATAAAATCAGAGTTCTACAACTGAGTAAGAAGACACCAGAGCTAGGGAGTAGGTAACCACATGTGTCTGCACATAGACTGAAAAGCTTCGGGACTACGTGAAAGAAAAGAACCCTAGGCTTAAAAAATAAAATTAGGCTTTGAAGCTATTCGAAGTAAAATGTACATCTGTGAAACTTTTCACTAAAATAAAAACAGATAATCCCAAAATGAAATTCTTCCTTGCATTCTATCACTTAATTATTATATTCCCAGAACTGTTCAAAGCTGTCTAGAAGTATATCCTTCTCATGTATTCAGTACATGTATATGACTCCTTCATACCTGGCACTATGGTGCTTTTGTGGTCTTGTATAGTCTATCTTTCCCTTCCTTCATATGAATAATTTCTACTAATGAGGTAGACATTATTATCCCACTCTACAGATGAGAAAACTGAGGTGCAGAGAAATTAACTCATTTCCCTATCATCATCCAGTTAAAAGTGATGGACCTGGGCCGGGTGCAGTGGCTCACGCCTGTAATCCTAGCACTTTGGATTTACCAAGGTGGGCAAATCATGGGGTCAGGAGTTCAAGACCAGCCTGGCTAACATGGTGAAACCCCATCTCTACTAAAAATACAAAAAGTTAGCTAGGTGTAGTGGCCGGTGCCTGTAATTCCAGCTACTCAGGAGGCTGAGGCAGAACTGCTTGAACCCAGGAGGCAAAGGTTGCAGTGAGTCGAGATTGTGCCACTGCACTCCAGCCCAGGTGACAGAGTAAGACTCTGTCTTAAAAAAAAAAAAAAAGTGGTGGAGCAAATTTTCCTGATGTTCAGTCCCTGTTTCACCGCTTCCATAGGGGAAAGGCAAGACATTTAAAAACAAAACAAAAATCTCTAATACTAGAGAGGAAAAAATGTATGCAGCAGAAACAGATGTAAAATATGCTTTGGGGAGAATAAAGGATAAATTACCTCTGGGGATGTGGGCTGGGGACTAGGAAAGGCTTCATGAAGGAAACAGTATGTGAACTGGGTCTTAAAGGATGGGGAAGACGTGGAGTTGAGGACACTCTGGGCAGAGAGGCTGGCATGTACAAAGATAAAGATGTGCAGCCATTGCTTAGGATGCATGAGAGGCAAGAGTGGGAAACAGATTGGGAAGGGAACTTTGGTCAGGTCACGATGGGATTTACGTGTCAGGTTAAGTAAGGTGCTTAAGGTTATTATGCAGGCAATATGGTGACTCTGAACATCTCTGAGCAATGGTATGCAGCGCGCAGGAAGACAATGCTGTCTACAATGAGTTATGTCAATTAAAGAAGAGGGAGTGACTGGAGTCAGGGACGCCTGGTTAAAAAAGAAAAAATAGCGCAGCAGTCCAAGGAGGAGGTAGGGATAGGCTGAATCAGGTACTGGCAGCAGAAATGAAGAGGGATGGAAGAATGTGAAAACCTATCGCAAAACAAAACAAAAAACAATGGGTCCTGGCAGTTGACCTGCAACTGCTGGAGCTGAAGGACTAGGAGGTGGTCACTGTTTACCAGAAGCAGGGAGGAGATGAGCTCCATTTGGTAGAGGTGTCCAAGAAAGCAGGTGGAAATGTGGGACAAGAGCTAAGGAGACTATGTCAATTCAAATACCAGTCTCAGAGATCTGGAGATGAGCTTGCCAAGACAGCAAGCAGAGAGGGAAGAGAAGAGAACTTAGATCCAGTCCATCAAGAAAGGGGGTGAGTGGAGAAGCACATGGCCCCTAAATGATCAGGTTTCTCCCTTCCTGGTTCCCTCCTTTAGCCTCTTAGCCTCTCCCTCCACACCAGTGGTTATAGAACTGCTCTGTGTAAATATATCCCCTAGGGAGTAAATTCAAAATGCAGATTTCCAGGTGCAACCCCCAGAGATTCCTGAGTCAGCGGGTTTGGGGTTCTACCTGAGGAGTCTGCATCCTTAGAAAGCCAGCCCAAGGACCACACTTTGAGAAATGCTGCCATGTAACCTCTCCCTGTGTGATCTCACCTCAAAACAATCTCTATCTCCCATTGAAAACCCTTGGCTGAGCTCCAGTCCCACCTGGCAACTGAGCAACCCTATCTGAATATCTCCTAGGTACTTTTGACTCAGCATGTTCAAAATTGAATTCACTTTTTCCCCCACACCTGGTGCATACAGAGTAAAGTACAAGTTCTTCAGCTTGGCATACAATCTCCAGCGTCATTCTCGACCACTGTCTCAGTTTTGCTTTGCATGTTTAGCAATATTATAATTTCTCACAGTTCCTGGACATTCATACCTTTCTATCCTATTTGCTGTCCCCTGCCAGAACTCACAGTGCAGGGCACAGGCATGTCACCTCCTCCACCCCAAACACACTCCTTGCCATTTGTCCCTCTGTGCTCCCTTTTGTCCACATGCATCCCTTTTACTGCTGCACTCATTATATTGTATTGTGCCCCTTGCTTGGTGGTCTTTCTATGAGCCGGAGCTCCCTGAAAGCCAGGGCTGTGGCGTATTCCCTTTCATACTCCGAGCTCCTGCTACAGAATCTCTAGCACATGGTAAGCTGTAGCTGAACACTTGATGAATTGACTTTCTTTCTTTTTCTTTCTTTTCTTTTTTTGAGACAGAGTTTCCCACTTGTTGCCCAGGCTGCAGTGCAATGAATGGCGCGATCTCGGGTCACTGCACCGTCCGCCTCCCAGGTTCAAGCAATTCTCTTGCCTCAGCCTCCTGAGTAGCTGGGATTACAGGCACGTGCCACCACATTTGGCTAATTTTTTATTTTTAGTAGAGAGAGGGTTTCACCATGTTAGTCAGGCCAGTCTTGAACTACCAACCTCAGGTGATCTGCCCGCATTGGCCTCCCAAAATGCTGGGATTAAAGGCATGAGCCATCATGTCTAGCTGATGAATTGACTTTCTTGGAAAAAGAAAGAAAGACAAGAAAAAAAAGAAAAAAACAGAGAGAGAGAGAGAGAGAGAGAGAAGGAAGGAAAGAAGGGAGGGAGGGAGGGAGGAAGGGAGAGAGAGGAGAGAGAGAAGGTATGACTAGGAATGTTGAAAGAAAAAAACAAACTAAATAAGCATGTGAAGGGAGGGGAGTGGTTCAAGAGGAGTGAGGCCATTAACAGTGTCTAGCTCAAGTTTGCTTAGAAATCAAGCAGGGGAAGGGCTGAGAAAGGGCACCGGATTGGGCATCTAAGAAGCCACTGGCAACCTCAGAGCAAAGAGTCAGTCCTAACAGTCCTCTGGCATGACAGTCAAGCCCCTCCAGGGCTGGCCACATAAGAGCAAGCTCTTTCATGTCAGTGGGAGGAAACCTCACAATTGAAACTTCACACTGCACAGAAATGCACAGGTCCACTGATTCATGACTGAGGTAGGCTTAACTTGGCTTAACAGGACCTGTAGGCTTTTATAAGAGCTCTCCTCAGCCTACCTTTACTTCTACCTCCACCCCCAAGCTTCTTTCTGCACCATTTCTGCCTATCTGTCCGAGTTCAGCCTGGACGGCAGGTCAGGGAAACCAAGCTGTTACCTATTTCCCATTATCACAGAAATTTCTCTGCAGGGTTGGGTTGCTTCTCTGAACTGCTTCTCCTGTGCAAATCCATCCTAATCTGCCATTCCTGCAACCTCCAACTAAATCACCCTACCTTCTGTGCACCTCCATTACAGCTTCTTTTCATTCATAGGCTGATTGCATTTTTTTTTTTTTGCCATAATTCCTTTCTGCTGAATGCTCTTATGGCATCACTTTGCTTTTCCTGCACCCCTGTTCAGGTGTCTGATCATTTTTCTTCTAGGAGCAGAAGCATAAAATGAATGATATTTCCCTATTCCCCTGATTTTGTCAGGGTAATTTCTCCAAGACTGCCATTTCCACAATGAGATTCCCTTTGCCCTTAAAGCCACAGCTCTATTGTTCCTCATTGGAATGCAATGTCTACTCTTTTAAATTCTCTGTGAGTGTAATGTCTTGTCACTGCAGCTTTCAGTTAAAGAGTCTTGCTATTAAATACTACTCTGTTACAAATTGTATCATTGAAACCGATCAAAGCTTTAAAGCAGAAAGACAAAGTAATTTCTTAAGAATAATCCAAACAAAAATAGGTCTCTATCATGACTTGTTAAGAAACAGAATTATAAGAAAAGGAGAGGAAGAAGAAATAAAGAATGTGTGGAAAAGATAGAAAGATACAGAGAAAAAGAAAATTAGACACAGTCAGAAAGAGAGGAAAATAGAAATAGAGCAAGAGACCAAAAGAGAGGTGTGATATCAAAAGACAGAACTTGAGATAGTGACCTACCTCCCCCAGGCACATCCTCGAGAGAGAAACCACAGGCTCCGACATGGAAAATAAAGAGCTGTCAGGAAAATATGAGCAACATACACCAAGTGAGAATAAGATACAAGCCACACAGACATCATGCTATGAATACCCTAAGAGTAATACAGACATACACACCTAAATGCATACACCAAAAAGAGGGTTATCTCTATCCTGCGGCCTTGAAGATATTGTGATGTTGTGCATTTTCACATCTATAGGCAAAAATGAAAAAAAAACAAAGACGCTTTTTTCCATATTCTGTAAGCAAAATGAACTTGAAATGAGGTCAAAGCTCCCCCATGTTCACTCTACCAACTCCCGAGAAAGATGTGACTTGTACCATTCTGTAGAAAGGCAGATTAAGGAGAGTAACTGGTATGGATGGTTACTAAATCCTTTCCAGTTTTCTTGCCTTTATTATTGTTTCTCAAAGCACCCTGAAGTTAAATCGTATTTTGGAAATCTAGAGTTCCATGTATTGCAAAAAAAAACCAACCAACCAACCAAACAAACAAACAAAAAAAAACAAGTGACTTATTAAATGATTGATTAAACTCCTTAGAACACTGAATGCTAACATATTTACTAAATAAATAAAATACAATGCACACTGTCTCTAGCCAAATGGGACAGCTCCCAGACCCCTCTCACTGTCTCAGGCCCATGCCTGGCCATGCCTTCTCTGCTTGGAGCACTCTGTGGTGTTCTCTTCTGCTACCTGCCTAGCTCTCCCCATCCTTCTGCCATCTCCACCCATAAAACAGGACAGATTCTTTCAGGTGGAATTTAAGAAACTATATTTCCCTCCAAACTAGTTTCGCCAAAGTCACTATGCAACTCTTGTGGCTAAATCCAGTGAATGCCTTCCCGCTTTTTTGTTTGTTGTTTGAGACAGAGTTTTGCTTTTGTTGCCCAGGCTGGAGTACAGTGGCGTGATCTTGGCTCACTGCAACCTCCGCCTCCTGGGTTCAAGTGATTCTCCTGCCTCAGCCTCCCGAGTAGCTGGGATAACAAGCACTGCCACCACTCCCGGCTAATTTTTTGCATTTTTAGTAGGGACGAGGTTTCATCATGTCGGCCAGGCTGGTCTCGAGCTCTTGACCTCGGGTGATCCACCCACCTTGGCCTCCCAAAGTGCTGGGATTACAGGCTTGAGCCACTGCACCCGGCTGCCTTTCCACTTTTATCTGATGTGGGCCTCTCAATAGCACGCAGCACTGTTGACCTCGCTAGGATGTTGAGGAATTCCCCTGTCCTGGCTGTCCTGTAACTTCTCTGCCCTCTCCTCCATGGGGAGCCCTTTTTCCTCTTCCCATGCCTCAAATACTGGTGCTGCCCAGGCTCTGTTGCGGATCATCTCTCCTCCCAGCTCCCATGCTCTCCTTCAGTGACATTTCACTGTTAGTTTTATACCTTGCTGTCACTTGACTGCAGTCACCAGAGGGAAAGGAGACAATTAGTATACTCAGTCTGCCAATTCATGAAAGAAGATCTAGGCTCATTTCAAGAATATTTTTCCATTATATGATACCAACTATGCTAGCTCAACTGAACGCAAGTTTTGCATCACATGCGTACAGCTTCAGTCATGGTGGGCCGAAGAGGAGGTGAGTGTCTGTCTGTACGGCTCCGTCTTGTTCCCCTTTTATGGGACTCTATTTCCTTGCCCAAGATGGTTACCTTCTTATGGGAGGGAGACTACTTGTAAAATGTTTTCAGTTGACACAAGTGATCTTCATTTTAAGACTGCCTAGAATCACTCACTGCTAGACAGCAGCTGGAATGTACTTAGAGGCAGTTACTGAATGCTGGTCAGTGCTGAGTTCAGAGGCAGTCCTACAAAGCAGGGACCTATAAAGCAAGATGCTGCCAATCCAGTTACGAACACAGGGTACCCTGTGGATGACAGAGAGTGAGCAACAGCCAGGAAATGCTCTGTGAGCCTAGGGAAAGATGAGACAAGAGTCAGTGGAGTTGGTCACAGGGAGGTGTTAGAATAATACTAACTTTTATTGAACCCCTACTATGTGTCTGCACTGTATACAAAACTCTCTCTCTAATCTAACCCAGCCTCAGGGGCTGTGGTGAGGACTATATGAAATGTCTTTTATCAAGTTCTTACTGTTGTGCTGGACACCAGAGAGCATACGACGCATTGCAGCTATCATCCATTGAACAAGTACGTGTGCAGTAGTCACCATGTGCTGGGCACTGCACAGTTACTGGACGTACAATACCAAGCAAGAAAAACATGGTTCCTGTCCTTATGGGGCTTACAGTCTAGAGATGCCCTGTCCAAGATGGTAGCCGCTAACCACCTGTGGCTATTAAAATTAAAATAAAAAATTCAGTTCCTCAGTCGCACTAGCCACAATTCTTGTGCTCCACAAACATAAGTGGCTACACTGCCCTTATGGCAGCAAGTTCTACTGGCCAGCACTAGAATGGGGCAGAGAGACAGCAGGGAGTTACATACCTGTGTGGTGAAGGCTGAGATAGACATTTATAGATGAAAAAGGAGAATGTTACTCTTATTCTTCTTTCTCATAATCAAAACACAGAAACTGAGCTCAGAGAGGTTAAGCAGTTTGACCAAGATCACATAGTTAAGTGGAAGAGCTGGGATTTGAACCTAGGTCTGACTTACTCCCATGCTACCTTGGACTGTTTTGTGGAGGAGGTGAGCCAGACACAGGAAGAAGCTGGTTAAAGAGAGAAGATGGAGAAAGCACCCCATTGGGACAGTGGGTGGGAAAGTGACAGCTTGGGCAAAGGCACAACGACAGTGATGTGTGAGGCTGGCAGTGGACTATAAGTAAACCAGTCTGGCTAGAGAAGCAGTGCCTTGCTGAACTCACGTCCTTAGAAAGCTAAACTAGGACTCACCTGCCTTGATGAAAAGCCAAGGCGCTAGAAAACTCAACCCCACCTGCAGAGGCTGAGTCCTTAGAGGATGTTAGCCAGAAGCATGGCATGGCCAGAACCACGTATTATGAAGATGGCAGTATTTAGGATGACCTAAGCCAAAACTAAAGTTAGGGAGACTGGTTAAAGATTGCAGAGAGGTTAGAAGGGAAGGAGATAAATGACAGGTGTGGAGTAAAGAACACCAGAGTGAGAGAAGAGACCTATTTCTAAGCTTCAATACTGTGTGACATTGGGCGATAGATTTTACTTCTTTGGACTTCATTTCTTCAACTCTCAAAGGGCAGGGCTGGCCCAGATGACCTCTGAGGTCCCTTTTAGCAACAGTAGCCTGGGATTCTGCAAATGTGAATGGCATTAGGTTGAGAGAAGTGGTAGGAAGTGTAGCATTGATTGTGGGGGCAAGGAAGACGGCAGAGTCCAAGATCACACAGGAAGGGGCTGTGATGTGCCACTAACAAAGTATGAAAGAGCTTGCCTTTTTTGGTGGGGGGAATGGAGGATGGAGAACGGAAAGGATAAGAAGCAGTGAGAAAATCATTGGGTTGTATTCAAGAAAGTCACACAGTGTTAGAGATCTTTATTTTACACCTTAAAAAGATAGCTTCTCAACTTTGTTAAACCCACGATCCACAGTCGGAAATAAAATTGACATCATGGTCCAGTACACTTGTCCAGTACCTATAATTGAAACAAAAGGTTTATGAAACAATAGTTTCCCTTACTAAGGGCAGTGGATTCTAATATTTTCTATTGGATTCCATTTCATTCTTTTTTCAAGCCCGTTGCCATCCGCTGCATTTATTTTATGATCTATTAATGTGTCACGACCCACGGTTTTAAAAACAGTCCCTAAGAGGAGACTCAACAAGTCTTCCTAAGTTGGAGGGGATGGAAGGGCATCCTATCCAAGCATACGGGAGACAGCTGGAGAGGCAAACCTGGAGAGGCTCTGAGCTGGGGAGAGTTTGGAGAATGTTTAGCGGAAGCCCTGATCGGAGAGAGCGCTGAGAAAAGCGAGGACCCAGACAGTTGTGAGCTCCCATTCAAGTGATGGGGGGCGGGGGGGCGGGGGCTCGGGACAGTGTAGACGCGAGGAGGCGAAGATCAGGGTGGCTTGGAAGCCAGATTCCGGCAGGAAGCCGGCGACCACCCCGGGGGCTGCGTTTCCGCGACGTGCACGGCAGGTCTTGGTGCCTCTGACCTCGTGTGGCTTTCCGAAGCTCCTCCACTCACCCGCCCTCCCTGGGAGCACGGCGCGCTCCCACTCCTTCCTTCATTCATTTCACTCCTACCTCCGTGAGCACCAACCGGCTGCGAGATGGGCGAACCACTTTGCCAGCCGGGGGCTCTCCTTAGGGTCGGTTCCCCCCCAGGCCAGCACGCGCGCACCCTCGCACACACACACACGCGCGCGCGCGCACAGACACACGCGCGCACACACACACACACACACACACACACGAACACACACACACAAAGTTCTGGGGACCCTCTGCGGACCGGCTTGGCTGCGCTGGGCTCAGAGCCGTGCGCCTGCCCGGCCCAGGCCGCCCCACTAGCGGCTCCCCGGGGCCCGCCCCGCGCCCAGTCCCCCCCGCGCTGCGCGGCCGCCCCTCCCCGCGCGGTCCCCTCCGGCCGCCGGCGCGGCTCTGCCCTTCGGCTCGGCCTTCCCCGCCTCGCATCCGTGCCATCGGCGCTCGATTGCGCGCGGACTCCCTGTGGCTCTCCCGGCCCCGCGCCCCGCCCCCGCCCGCCGCCCCCCTCCGCCAGCAACTTTTGCGGAGCCCCCGCGCCCAGCCATGCTGAGCTGAGCCCCGCCGGCCCTGGCCGCGCGCTGCCCCCGGCTCCCGCCCCTCCGCGGACCCGCTCGGGGGCCGCGGCCGCTCGGCGCCTCGGCCTCGGCCGCTCCGCCCGCCCGGCCGCCCCGAGCCCCGAGCCCCGAGCCCCCCGCGCCGGGCCCGGGCGGCAGCGGCGGTGGCGGCGGCGGCGGCGCGCCCGGCCCCCTCCCCCGGCGCCGGCCACGGGAGGCGGTGATGCGGGCGCGGGCGGCCTCGGCTGCGCCGAGAGCGGAGACACAGGCTCAAGATGGCAGATTCCGACTGAGGCTGGGGGGGCCGAGCTCGCGCGCCGCTTTCCCGTCCCCGTTGCCATGAACCGCGGACACCCCGGCCCCGATGGCCCCCGTGTACGAAGGTAAGGGGCGCCCGGCCCCGCCGACCCCGCGCCCGCCGCCCCGCCGCGGCCCCCGCAGCTTTGTTCTGCCCGCGGCTCCGCGCCCGCAGCCCCCGGCGCCCGCCCCAGCCCCCACTCGGGGCCCTAGGGGGCCGCGACCCCCTCCCGCGCCCGGAAGATGACCGGGACCCGGCGCCGGCGGGGTCCCGCTTCCAGGGCGGGGAGAGGGGCCGGGGGCGCGGGAGGGGAGGGGGCGTGTGCGAGGGTGGGCGGCTGCCCGGGGAGGGCAGGGGCGCCGGGGAAGGCGGACCCGTGACTGTGCTTTTTATTTATTTGCGATAAATGAAGGTGCTGCGGCTCAGCTTCCACCGCCCCCCCACGCTACCTCTCGGAGCACCTCCTTTCCACTTCGCTCTCCGCCCCGCGCCCCTTCCCATTTCTCTCCGCGCCCACCCCACGCTCCTTTATTATCCGCAAGCCTCCGATTTTGGGGGGGCCGTGGAATCGGAACGCGGGGGGCTAGGTGGGGAGAGAGGAGAGGGATGAAAAGTCCGTGTCAGAGCCAGGCAGAACAATGAAACAGGCGAAAATCTCCCCGCATTAGCGTGTGCAAGGGGACGTGGACTTTGGGTTTTCCAGCCGGGGAAGCCGCGGAGACGTTTTTCTGGCTCGGTCTGGGTCGACCTGTGTGGTGCACCTTCACCTGGCGTCGGGGTGTTTTCCCCCATTTGACTGCCTTTAGGAAGAAAGAAAAGAATGCGAGGCGGAGAAGCCGTGGGTCTGCCTCGCACACTCTGTTTCGTTTCTCTTCGGTCCGTTCTGTCAGCTTCCAGCCAGAAAGCAACCCAGAATCAACTAAGTTTTTACACTTCGATGTGTTTTTGTGTGCTTGTAGTAGGGGGAATTTTAAACCCAAGTGTGTCTGATTTTTCAGTCGTTTCATCGTGCAAATGTTTGTCTCGTGAAATCATTGAAATCGCAGCCTTCACATACTTTTAGCGTGGGTCCCCCGGCTTTCTTTCGGTTTTGTTCGAATATTCTGTGGGGTGAAATCGCAAATGAGGTACAGGGTTTGTGTGCCACAGGGGAGGGTACGAGGGGGGAGTGTAATCAGCCTATAAATCCTGAGAACAGTTGTGGCCAGTGAGACAGGGAAGGCATTAATAGTTTTATCTCTGTTATAAGAGGCTGATTTAAAAAAAAAAAAAAAAAAAAAAAAACTTATCTGAAAAGAAAATCTGTTATTAGTTCCAGGGCTCCAAATGAATTAGATTTCTGGCCGGAATAAAGTTACCAGTCAGGCCCTGGATAACGAGGCTGTAAATAACCTATGGACTGTAAATATTTTTTTTCAGACTCTCTTAGAAACAAAGGGGCTGTTTAGAAGGCAACAGAGAGATGTTATTCCAGGGGCTTTCCTCTTTGATTCTGAAGAACACAAGGTCCATTTAACCGTTGGACAAAACAAAACGAAATTTCTGATCACTCCACCACTCAGAATAGAACATGCCGGTGGACATGTGAACATGTGGGAGAACCCATGTCGGCCATTCATTGTTCATCTGCGTCTACAGGAGGGGGCTACAGTCAATGCTCCCACTGTCTAGAGTGTTAAAATGAAACAATTTTCTCTTTATTAAGTACCTCCTTGAGACTCCCTCTGCTGGACACTCTCGGTGAGTTGAGAGAAGGAACTTGGCATTGAATTCAGAACTATAGTAAACGGCTGATTTCCCTGTTACTAGGGACCGGGTATGTGAGTTGGGATGTATTTTGTCAACTTTGTGGAAAGCCATCTTGGGAACCGCACTGTTCTCCTGCCCGTTTCATTCTAAATCCATATGGAATGTAGGCCGTCCCGGGGGATGAGACCTGGCCTCTCCCAGTTCCTGCTACATTGTTCCTCCAGTTCCTTAAGCCAGATGAAGAGCTGCAGGTGTGTAGGGTGTTATGTTTAAGAATCGTCATGGATCTCCAAGGTCTCATGAACTGTTTTTATTTGCCAGCCTTCCTTCCCTGTCTCAGGTGACCTCCGTGGTGGCCTTTTTCAGCCCTCGGTTTCCCTCCATCTTGTCCATGTGCCCTCTTCATTATTCCTGCGCTGTGCACCCTTTTGTTCGGGGTGTGTCTCTGTGCACCTTTATCATTCTTTTTCTAATCTTCCTTCTCACGCCACCTCAACTAGCCCACATCACTCTGCCAAAAGCCCAGGTTCGGGTGTTTTTGAAAGAGACTGTTAGACATGCTCAGAACAGACAGGTGACCTCTAGAATCAAGGATTAGATCGCTAGGACCCACATTCACTCACTGTGATGAGTGTGCCAAGACTCTGATGACCTCCTTTCTCCCGCCGTGGTGACATCCGCTGGGTTCAGGGAACCTGATTTTTCCCCTGTCTCAATCAGAGCACGTGGACTCCCTGTGTGCATGTTAAATGAGCAGAGCTTTTCCTGTCGAATTCTCCAAGAGGAGGGATTCCTGGTGGGTTTTGAGCTCCTAAAAAGTGCACATGATTCTTCTCAGGAAGAGTATAATGACATGAGGGGGAATTGTTTCAGTGGGGTGCTACTGCATCAGGCCAGAATGCCAGGCGAAGGCCCAGATGCATTAAAAGAGCATTCTAAACTGCCAGAGATTTAGACAGAAATGCTGTTATTGAAACAAGGTGAATTTGATAATACAAATTAATGGGTGGCAAGGTATAATCGGTCTTCCAGGGCTTGCTTGAAGGATAGGTTTATAAACAGCACATTTGTTTTTGGTGATTTGGAACTGAACTTCTTTTAAAAAGGTTTATTTTCTTTAGAAGGTTAAACATTTGCCTTGTGATTGCATTTCCTCCATCAACTTGCTTAGCAAGGCTTTTTCAATATCTAGTGCAAAGGCCAACCACCAAGGTCTATATTGCCATGGGTTCTGAATGAGAGGAGCCTAAATTCCAAGTTATTTATATTTCCTCTACCTGAGCTATGCCGTGTTGATTACTGTTGGCTTATGTAAAGGAACACTTCACAGCTTCCAAACACTGTCCTCCTGCAATCTATCATCAGATGGACCTGAAGATGCCTGTCTACCAAGTTGTCTCCCAAGAAATGAGATTCTGAAACATCTTCTGTTAGCAGAGTTTGATGACACATGTCCTAAAATATCCATTCCTGTGTTTAGGTTTTATATTTTAAAAATGAGTAAGTATAAATATTGCTTTTCTTCTTACCACATTTGCATAGTGAGTAAGGTACCTTAATTTTATCCTTGATTTCAGACAGCGTGCTATGATACTTGAATCAGAGAAACCTGAATTTGAAACTAGCCATATGACTTTGGGCGTGTTACTTAACTTCTCTAAGCTGTTATTATTATTATTGAGCTTTATTGGATTGTGCAGGAACTCCATTAGAAACTAGCACATGTAAAGTCTCTGGCTGTAGTAGGCCTTTTCTCAGTGTGTGTTAAATCCCTCTGTCTTCTGAGCTGCTTACAGGCATGATGACTCCAGGGAAAGAATAACCCACAAATAGTTTAGAAAACCAATAATAGCAACATTTCAATTATTAATCTCCTGCAATTCCCTTTCCAGCTTGGGCACCAGCAACAATAAACCCCCTATAGCCATAGAAGAAAGAACCTTCTTTTTACCCCCTCTGTGACCTTTCCAGATTCTTTATTCGCATTGAGCTTCTGCTGGTTTCAGGTAGAGAATTTGTTTTCTATAGTGGCACTTTCTGGGCCTCTTGAAAATGTGGAAATAAACTACTGGGGCAGAGTTTCAGGGGCTGCAGCTGAAACGGATACTTTTCAAGAGGCAGTGCCTCTTGGAAAGCATCCCCAAGTATGAAAGATAACCTTTGCCCTTAACAAGGCAGCTGGCTGGGCGAGGGAGCACCGGACGTGGTTCATCAAGCGCCATCTCCGAGGGGAGGCTCCTCATCCACCACAATCCAGGGTCTGCCTCATCATGCATTAAACATCATTTTCCTGCAAAAGACAATGTGGTGCTTTCTGTAAGTTACAGTGGCTCAGATTCTTTGTATTTTATGTTTTATATTTCTTCATCTCTCTCTTTCTCTCCCTTCCTCCCATAGAGACCAGTCTTGGGGAACCACCTTTGAGGTTTGTATGGAGCAAAGCAGGGATGATCAAGAGGGTGTGATATGTGAGCGTTTCTTATTGTTCTCTGAACACGTAATTCGCCCACAATTTCTGGTAGTCTTATTGATGACAATTCAAGGACTTTGGGTTGGTATCAAAGACAGGCTTCAGAATAATGGCAGCACACTTTATATAACCACCGATGGGATGTGAACTTGAAAGGCCCAAACTCGCAAGAGCTCCATCTCGTATGACGATTCCCTGTTGGCGGAAAAAAAAAAAAGGAAAAACCTGGAGTATAG